ACAACAAGCTTGTGATTCTAGACGGGGCTTAATCTACAACCTTCCAACACAGAGGCAAGAGTGCTGCCAACGGAGTCAAACTGACAACTGATTCTGCAAAACCACATGAGAATCCACACAGGAGAATCCGCACACTAAAATCCACACTTGCAACTACAGAGGCAAACAATTGAACTTTACCAAGAGTCATGCCCCTGCCCCTCCTAGGCTTGGGTGCCCATCCAGCTGTGTTAAGCACTTAAGAGACATATCCCCCAATACGAAAAGTGCTTTACAAATGCAAGATGAATTGAATTTATAATATGCTTCACAATCAGGAACAAAAAGTTTGAAAGATTCAGCTCTTACCCTGTGATTCTGAACTTCCACCGATTTCATCTTCACGTTTGGTCTTTGGAGAAAGTCTGCTACTGTCTGTGAACAAAATATTACAATGAGGATAAGACAGGAAGCTGTAGGCAGAGTGCATTAGTTAATGAACTCTGATGAGACTGTCTCTTCGCCCACAAAATATACAGTCAATTAACTTTATAATATATTCTGTCAAGCACTTTGAGACATCTCAAAGACATGATAAAAAGCTATATCAAATTAAGCAAGGATTATTATTATTATTATTTAATTTTGTTCAGTCTTAACCTTCAAAGTATCCCCAAGCCCTGGCATGAAGCAGAGAATACTAACAGAAGCTGACACCATATCATATGCTCAATGCCTTTGGACTCTCTATAAAAGGATAGCTTTATTATCTCCGGAAAGTCATCCGCCAATCGACTAACAACTGGATTCCTACTTACTGCTAGGTAAACAGAGGCAAGTGAAATAAGGAAACTTGCTTAAGGTTTCGCCCCGCCCAGGAATCAAATCTGGTCCTCTCGCTTGCGAGGTGAGTTCACTAACCTACTACGCTATGGGATTCCACAAATAAGATATAAAATGCAGGTGCAAAGAGCTAAAGTACAAATTACAAAAGATTGCAATTTGAAGAACAGAAAGTATTACAGGAATGAAGGCCACTCCACCCACAGGCAGCAAACTTCAGTTTCCTCCTTTGCCCTATAAATAACAAGGAAAGTCACTGACACGTGAACAATGAAATATGTGGCTTTTATTGAAACACATATCAATCTACTGTAGCTACAGTGCTGTACTCAAGAAAATTCAGTGGAGGGATTTGAATGCGAGAACAAGGATTTGGGATTCCTATTCTAGGAGTCCCATTTAATTTTCCAATTTACTTTCTATTATCCTGACTCCTGCTTTGAAGTTTGTCACTTGCTGCTTTTTGCTGGTTTCAAGTAAGATCTTGGTTGTTTTCCATGTATTCCGTCTTGATGCACTTCAGTGACTTTCCCCACATACACGTAGAGGGGGAATTATTTGTCTCATTAATTTCACTCAATATTTTGTTTAATTTGTATTCAGTAAAGCTTCCCTCGCTCCCTCTTATTCTTTCTCGTCACCTCTAAACTTACCATTCTTACCAAAAGTAAACCTCACAGCTTCCATTTTCAACAACGTTATTTTCTCTCTTGACCCGTCTACTTGCATTTTCTTGAACAGAAATAGATTCTACACTTGTGAGTCATCATCTGCCCAACTCTTGTAGTGTCCTGGTTCCCACTATCTTTTGCTCCTGCCTCCCACACATCCCTACCTGCACGCAGTGGTAGCACCATTGCTTCTGAGTCAAAAGATTGTGGATTCAAGTCCCACGTTGGAATTTGGAAGTCGACACTCCCAATGCGGCATTAGGGGCTGCGCTGCTTTGCCGTAGGTGCCGTCCTTCAGATGAGACCTTAAACCGAGGTCCCGTCTGGTCGTTCAGGTGGACGTTAAAGATCCCACGGCGCTATTTGAGAAGTGCGGAGAGTTTCTCCTGGGTGTCCTGGCCAACTATCTCCCAAATGAAATCGGGTCACTCACTCCTCTCCGCGGCCGTTTGCGGGACACTGGCTGCGCGCAAATTGTCTGCCGGGTTTTTCGCCCACAAAATACACAGTGGCTGCACGGTTCGCCCACAAAACATACAGTCAATTCACTTCAAAGTAGATCCCGTGGAAGCGCTTTTGAGACGTCACGATAGGCGTGAGAAGGCGCTGTATCAAATGCAAGGATTATTATTATTATTATTACTTTACAGTGTATCCTGTGAAGCGCTTTGAGACGTCTCATCGAGTGCAGGGATATTGCTATGTGTTGTTCTGATCAGTGAGAGAGGACGAGGTGCAGGTCGGCGACAGTCAGGGTTTGGGGACCCAGAGGGTGACTGGGGGACACTGGCGAGGACCAGGCCTCACCTGTACCGGGAGCTTCCGGGGCCCTCCGGGACCTGGGGCTGCGGTCACCGCTCATCCCTCTCCTCTGCTCTCCTCTCCTCGGCTCTCAGGCGGATACTGCCCTTCAGCACCGAGAGAGAGAGAGAGAGAGAGCGCCGAGAACTTCCTGATCACGGGTCGAAAGGCGACCGGAAGTGGGCCCTGACGAGCACCGGATGCGCTATAAAACAGCGGTTGAAGCCGCCGGGCGGCCATCTTGGTAGAGGTAGAGGAGCGTCCCAGGCACTCCCCCGGGCAATGGAGCCGGATTGGGCGGCCTTCACGCCCACAATGGGCGGGTTTCACGCCTAAACGGGCGGTTTTTGTTATTGTGGTTACAGCTTTACCCAAAACGGCTTTGGACTGGAAGACTGTAGATTTTTTTTAAAGAAAAAAACAAAAATAATTTAAACCTGCAAACCATTTTTTTTCTCTCTCTCTCTTTCCGTTTGAAGACCTTTTTATGTATCGTCTACAGGTTGACAATCACTCCATTTCACAGTAAATCCCGTGAAGAGCTTTGAAAGCCATTGGACCAAATTCAAGAATTATTATCATTTTCTTACAGTTTCAGAAGCACTAAGTTATATCGTCCACTCTGCTACTACCCATAAAATAGGTGACCGTAAACCAAATCTGGGGTCACTGACATCAAAAAATTGAACTCTCTATAATTCTTGGGGGTCACTTTGAAGGGGTTAAGACTGAACAGAACAAAACAAGATAATAATATCATGTCTTTGAGACGTCTCAAAGCACTTCACAGAATATATTGTAAAGTGGATTGACTGTATATCTTGTGGGTGAAGAGATAATCTCATCAGAGAACAACCATCAGGAATCTACTGGGAATGTACAGGGTGTTCACAAATTCCTTCCCCCACCACCTCCTGTTTTTTTCTTACAATGGAATCACCCTCTGTTAACTCACCCAAGTAATCATTCTTCATGTGCGAGTATGGACAGTGGGTGTCAATTTGATCACAGAGGAGGCATCACAGCCAACCTTCTTGCTGTGTTTACTAAATGTCCACACGGATGCACTTTCCAGCAGGGTACTGGATAGTGCTCATGAGCAGGAACTCTGGCTGATTTATCCTGGAAGATTCTGATATTCAATGAACACAAAATACACAGGAATAAGAAAGAAATAGAAATTTATTTTCACACCTTCAAAAACGGGAACAGACAAATCACAAATCACTGATCATTTTTACTCTTTGTGAGACAAACACATAAAATGAGACATGATTCTTTTAAAAGCAAATCATATAAATCAATTTCTGTCACACTTTAGAAAGATTTGAATGGTTTTAACAAAAGGCAGGTTTATTGCGGCTTGCTTAGACACATAAGAAAATAATTGGTATTTTCTAAAAAACCTTTTATGCTATAAATTTTTTTTAATACAACATTTTTAATGATTGCCAATTTTCTCCCCTCCTCTGCTGTGTGGACTCTTGCTGAGATTCGATTGCTCTCAACGTTACGTGTGAGGGCCAGTGCCTTTACCCAACAGGCCATCAGGATTGTTCCAATGTGACATCCTATGCAAGAAATCCTGCTTTACCTCCATTGGACAGGAGAGCACAGATAGCCCACGTACTCTCAAGGGTTAATCCCACACCATTCAATTCTCCCGTTTAGTTGAACGAACACAGGCTTGCTCCCAGACAGATCAGAACAGTACAGCAGAGGCAATATTCATACTTACATAATTCTTATCAGAACATCTATATTAAAAAAAACTAGAAAATGTGTGAACTATAAAACGGGTTTAGAATTTTTTAAAAAATACTCTGCAAAAAAAGAAATGCGGGGGTGGGACGGGGGGGAGTGAAATATTTTTAAAGTCAGTCCCTAGCTTGGTATAAAAAGGGTATATATTCTTCACGCCACCTTCTCCTTAGCTGTCGCTTTATGCTCAGTCAGAGAAATGACCGGTTGCATTTCTACAATCTCTCAAGAATTAGCTATTGTCAATTCTGTGCTGTGACTCCTCTTCCTCAATGTCTGTCTTTCATGTGCTGTCAGACACTCGAAACTCATCGCATGTGGGAAAGTCACAGAGTTTGAATATAAACGCATATATGAGGGAGAAGGGAATAGAAAGGTGTTAGAGAGGGGATGTATTTGAAAAGGAAAAATTTGCAGGCTATAGGGTAAGAGCGGGGGAGTGAGACAAGCTGGATGGCTCTTTCAAAGCTGAATTTTCCTCATGTTAAGAGGTCAGAGAAACAATTCTCTCTCTCTCTCCATCTCCTCTGTTGCCTCATGCACAAGTGCTTCAACACACTGCACCAGTGCAGCACCTCATACTTGCATTGTTACTTGCTACTTTGCTGTGGGTTGATGCCACGGATGATATGAAGGTCGGAAATGATAATAATAATGATAATAATAATCCTTGCATTTGATATAGCACCTTATCACGTCATTGAGACGTGTCAAAGCGCTTCAGAAAATATATTGTAAGGTAGATTAACTGTGTATTTTGCGGACGAAATGTGGCAGCCAATTGCGCACAGCAATGTCTTAATAACGGTCAAGGATTGAGTTACCACATTTTTCCCCTCACATTTTTGAGGGGAAAAAAAAACAGTAAAACATTCAGACACCAGAATTTCCAACAAGGGACCTTTTTTTAAAAAAAGCTGATTAGCTCCTAAATGTATATCTCTCTCTCTCTCTCTATATATATATATATATATAAAAACACATAACTCTCATCAACATTAAAATACCAATAACTGCCCAAGTAGCATCTGATTTGGAGGGATTTTTTAAAAGATCATCAACTTGGTTATGTAACTTTGACACGCAGCCAAAATGAGTCCCTTGGTGATCAGCTACAGACCCCTGTAGCTTCCTCTGCATTTCAGGCTGAGTGCAGCACATTTCCGTCAATGTCGTTTGGAATCCCACTCACAGGTCCCTTACACCCGTTCTCCTCATATTCCTGCTCAGGCCCCACGAGCAGCACCAGATGGGCAATGCGGCTCCATAATCCGCTCAGCTTGTCCATATTCATGGTGCCAGGATCCTGAGCTTCAAAAAAACGTTTCAACAAGAAATCGCGGACTTTCTCCTCCGCCGCGGGGAAGGACATGTTTGTCTGCAGCCTCTCCTCCGTCAGTAAGATCGTGATCAGGAGGGAGACGTCCTTGAAGGCTGCGTTTTCGTGGTCGCAGTACTTGTAGAACAGGAGGGTGGACGGGGGTGGCAGGTCCTGGAAGTGGTGGATGACGGCGGCCTTTTTGCCTTCGTTGAACTCCGACGACAGCCGCTGATCAATTTCCATCTTCACTTTGTCGCTGTCCAGCAGGTTCTTACCAGAGCCGTCAATCTCGACAGCGGTGGAGCCGAGCGCTGAGGCGTAAGCCCCAGCGATACTGCGGCTCAGGCACCTCATGGTCTTCTCTGCGTCCAGAGCGGCCGCGAACATCAAGATGGACGGCTCGGAGTGGGTGGTAGCGCCCAAGTGCTTCTTCAAAAGGACTGTGCTCCTTGCCCACAACTGCGGCTCCTGGTGTGGGAATCTCCGCTGGGTCTCCTTCAGCATCTCCAGGAAAGATTCCGTCACCTTTTCCATCCCTGGAGAAGAGAGCTCCTCACGATTCCCAACAAAATATAGCCATATAACCAAAGCTGCAATTAATCCCATTATTGGAATTCCCAACTTCCATAAGAATGATTTGGTGCCTTTGAAAAGATAAGACGGATATAATAAATTCAGGTGCTTTTTTTAAAAAATGGGTCAGAAGTTTATCGGACCCAGTGCAGGATTCGGTCACACACAAGATCATAGTATCTGCCCTTTTCAAATCGTTAATTGCAAATCCCAAAGGATTCTGAATGAAGCGTTAGAGGAACTTGCAGAAAAGAGGGTGGTTAAAGTGTTCCTGCGTTGAATCGTACTTGAGAAAGGGAAAGCTGGTGAAAATATGAGGGTCACTGGTCGTTATTTAAGAGTTTCTAAGCATGGATGAGAATCCACCGGACTCAAAATAGGCGAATGTCACAACTATATTTAAATAGGGTGACAAACTGATTCAGGCATTCACACACCATCAGCTTGATGTCAGCAGCATGCAAAATAACTGAAACCATTCCAAGTGTTAGGAACATTTGTACAGGAATATCTTAAAATATGCTGTGGCCAGCACAGATTTAGAAGGGGATGAACATATCTGATAAAGCTATTTGAAGTTGATACCGATGAAGCAGATAGAGGCATTCTACGCAACACAGATCATTTAGAGATTCAGAAAACTTGAGTCAATGCCAGGCTCAGTTAGTTGAACATCAGATAAGGGATTCCCAAGGGCACAAAGGGAAGGGGAGTAAAGAGACAAGGGGGACAACTGTCTCAGTCTGATGTCAATGAGCAGTAATTCAAGGCAGTGTTAATATTAATAAGCGATACGCCAAATGTGTTCCTGCTTCACTGCTAGGTAAACAGAGGAGTGTGGAGTAAGGAACCTTGCCTAGCATTTCACTCTGCCCGGGAATCGAACCCAGGGCAGTCTGTAGGCTTCGGCATGTAGAGACAGATCACGTCCTTAAACCCGCAAAGTAGGGCAGACCTGACTAGACAGGGACACTGAAGCTTCACGGTTTCCTTTCTTCTTCCAAATCAAAAACCACAGGAATTAAGGGTAGTGCATGGGACTGAATAAGAAATCGGTTTAAAAAAAGAGAAGTAAAAGCGCTTGTGAGATAAGTGATGTCAGATTCAGGGCCAATGTTGAGTGGAGTCCCACTGAGGCTAGTGCTCAGACCCTTATTGTTTCCGAACAAATAACCTTGAAACTGAGATTACCAGTAAGCTGACCACATTTGATGACAAGACAACTTGGGGGAACGGTGGAGACAAGAGTGGTGCAAAATAATAATAATCCTTGCATTTGATATAGCGCCTTTCACGTCTTCTAGACGTCTCAAAGCACTTCACAGAAAATACTCTAAAGTGGATTGACTGTGTCTTTTGTGGGCGAAACGCGGCAGACAATTGTGCACAGCAGTGTCCCACAAACAGCCATGAAGTGAGTGACCAATTACTATTTTTTGAAGGATTATTACCCTTGAAAAGCAATCAATCGACTAACAACCGGGCTCCCACTTACTGCTAAAGGCGTGTGGAGCAAGGAAACATGCCTACGGTTTCGCTTTTGCCCCGAAAATCTTTAGGCAATTGGGCAGACACATGACAGATTGAATTTAACAATGACAGGTATGGACCGTATGGACCTCAAGTGTACAATGGACAGAAATGAGTTAGTGCAAAGCAACATTTAAAGAAACCCGTGAACATGCCAATTTCAATGTCAGTGAAAAAGCAATTTAAAAAGCCAACAGAATGCTAGGATATGGAGCGCAGAACAGCACAGCAGAAACTGCAAGTTGAGCTTTGCAATGCACTAGTCAGACCCGTGCACATCACAGAAAAACATAGATTTGCAACAGAAAAATTTACAGTGAATTTTAGTCGGCCAAGTATTTAATACATCAGAAACCTGTCACCATGCTTAAGAGTATTGAAAGCAGACTGAGAATTCCACATATAATAATAATAATGCTTCCATTTGATATAGCTCTTGTATGTTAATCACTCTTGGAAATTTCCCTGCATTTCGAATGGAGTGTGCACTCAATCCCTGGGTGGGGAACCCTGCTTACCTAAGTCCAAATAGTATTAGGGCACACGTTGTTGAGACTTTGATGAAGCATGACTGATCCCAAAGGATTACAGAACGTTAACTTTCTATTCAATGTGTAAAGTTTAAGGGGGAAGAGATTTCAAATCACATGAACTATTAAAAAAACACAAGCGCACCAATTTCAGCATCCAATCCCCTGTGCTATCTGGGATCAGTTAGCTGAGCACAGATCACGAATTGAACCTCGGTTCCACACTTGGTCAGTGATGTTATAAAATCTTATCTCTCCAAATGTGCTTATGGCCACCTCCCCTTCCCCCCTTGCTCCATCCCTGTAAAGTGCACAGAGACATTAGCCTATGTGAATGCAAGTTGTTGTTGCCATACAATAGCAAGTGTGGTTAGTCAAATAGATTTTGGTCGAGGTTTACCTTTTTCTGGTGTTTGCTCCCATCCACGAACTAAAAGAGAGAAAGACAGTTTTATAGCTTTTCAATAATTCTCCAGGAACAGTGAACGTGCACATTTTGTAGTTTTCACGGGCCTGGCAATCCTTATCACTTCCAGACACATATTCATGGGTAGTACAGTGATAATAATAATAATCCTTATCATTACACATAATCCTCAATCTTCGTATTTGATATATATTTGATTTGATATAGGCCTTTCACATCAGCACAATGATGTCTCAGTTCGCTTTCAGGACAAGTATAAAGTGCAATGGTTGTGCTTTATGCAAACAACATGACACCTAATTTGCACATAGCAATGACGTCACCGATGAAGCACATAACTAATTTTCTGGCCAGGATACTGGGAAAAACTCCCCTTTTTTTTTAATTGTACCATCGGATCTTTAACGTCCATCTTAACAGGCAGACAGAACCTCAGTTTAATTTCTCATCCTAAGGATGGCACCTCCAACCATGACAATATAATAATAATCCTTGATATTGCACCTTATTGCACTTGCGGCAATGCAGCACCACACTGGAGACCCAGGGTAGGTAAACTTTGAATTAAAAGTCCCAACATAAGGACTGAACCCACAACCTTCTGACTCAAAGGCAAGAGTGCTACCAACTGAACCAGGTCGACAAAAACATGCATGTGAGCATTGGGTTTCAAAACTCTCAAATGGATAACGGCCATCCTGGAGGAGGCCTGTGGAGCAATACTCATGAGAAAACAAAAACAAATCAAAGGGAAGAGGTTAAAAAAACATTTTTCAACCCAATTCTCGATGCAAAGAATGACCTGGATTAAATCAAGTAGAACCAGCTCTCAAGAGTGAGAGTAAAAAAAGGTCAAACTGCAGCATTCGCAAATAGTTGTGTTGCACTTACCAGAGGCGCCATGCTTAACAAACGAATTTCCAGGAGCATAGACATTCGGAGTCCTGATGTTCCGCTGGGTATTTCTTTGATTGCCAACACCTAATCGAAGAGGGGAAACATAGATTATTTGTTTAGTGCAATATTTCAGCCTCTCAACTGAAAAAAGAAATCTGCCACATTTACCTCTAGAATATTTTCAATTATAAAAGTATTTTGAATCAAAACACAAATACTGTAAAAACTCAGAAAAGTCTGATCTGTATAAGTCGTATATTTACATCTGCCCAAGTCCGGTTCAACAGTTTACATTCTATGCAAGTTTGATATAATTCATACTTTGCATAAGTCATATTAAATATATGCTTCCAACTGATACGACTTATGTGAGGTTTACTGTATCTGCAGAGACTTCATTGAAAGCTAAAGGTACTCACTCGGAGACTTGCAGTGTTAGTTTGGCTCAGTGGTAAAACATTGTATTGGGACTTGAGCTCACATTCTACATGGGCACTCCAGTGTGCTGCAGTTTTCAATGCAATTTCAAGTCAACATCACTGTTAAACAAAGCACAGGCTGGAGATTGCTCAGACCCAATGTTGATTGGAGCAGGAATATATGATCTGTTCACCCGTCACTGTACTATACTGTAAAAGTAATTGCAGTCCAATTCCTTCTAAAGAAAATTACATCTCCAATGTTCCCACCCGGGGGATTTTGTGTCCAAGGTGCTCCTCGCCTGGTTTAGATCTATACAAGCAACAGATCGCCATGCACGATACACCAGTCACGCAACACACCACCACTTTGCAATTCCAAAACACACCACAATTATGTAGTTGCACAACATAGTCACACAATGGGTCATACGTCAAGTAAACAGTACCTGAGACCACTGAACGTTTGGATGCACTCCCTGAATATTCCGGTGCTTTTATCCCAGAATATTTCGATGGAAATGTTCCCCCAGAATATTTTGATCCTGTTATCCCAGAAAATTCTGGTGACTTTATCCTAGAATATTTCGACTCTGTTATCCCAGAATGTTTAGATCCTGTTGTCCCAGAATATTCCGATGGCTTTACCCCAGAATATTCGGACGGCTTTATCCCAGAATATTGCGATGTTTTTATCACAGAATAGTTCAATAGCGATGTTCCTCCTGAATATTCGCCTAAATCCTCCCCAGCTCTGTCCTCAGGTAGGGAGATATCTGTAAGACAGCAACCAGGACAGCCTTCAGGAACTCATGTAAAATGGCAGGAAGAAAACAGTCACACTGGTGCTGAAAGGACCTGATCTGCAGGAAGATCACGGAAACTTCAGCTCAGAATCAATAATAGATGAGGACATTTTTTTGTCTGGAAAGCAAATAATAACAAATAAGTCCACTCATGCCAGGCACAAAGCAACTATTGCTGTAAAATAGTTGGCAAAGGGAAAAGTTTGGAGCTCAGTTTTGACCAAAGGAGAAGGTCTAGGGTGATAGATGCAAAGTTATAGATCTGGAGTGAGGGTGCAGCCATATCGGCTATACTTTTCTTCAAAAAAGGGTAACCATCTTTTCTTTTCTCATCTCCTGGCTGCTTACACAATGGGACTTGGCTCTCGTCGCAATCCTTTTATGTGTAAGCCAAGACATTTTAGTTTCAACAGGCTGCTCGAGTATCGGTGCATTCACAGTTGAGCTCGATTCCACCCTCACGGACCCACTTTCAGTGAGGGATCACAATCAAGGAATGAGTGACCAATTTTATTTGGGGGATTGTTGGCCAGGAACACAGGGAGAAACTCCCTTCTCTTTTCGAATAGTGCCATGGGATTTTTAACATCCACCTGAACAGGCTTAACGTCTCATGCGAAAGTTTCAACATAAGGCACCATTTCAAATGCGCCATATTGTAAAAATAACAATTATAATAACCCTTGGATTTGAAATAGCAGCTTATGTTGAAAATGTTTCAAATCACATTCTCAGGGAGGGTTCACTCGAAAGTGATGAGGACGGGAACATTGGTAAAATATTTTCCCCCTCCTCAAGATGAGGAACACTATAATAATAATAATAATCCTTGCATTTGATATAGCGCTTTTCACGTCGGGAGGACGTCCCAAAGCGCTTCACAGAACACACTGTAAAGTGAATTGACTGTATATTTGTGGGCGAACGCGGCAGCCAATTGCGCACAGCAATGTCCCACAAACAGTCATAGATTGAAAGTGACCAATTTATTATTGTTTTGTTTTGGAGGGATTATTATTAGGCGTGTGGAGTAAGGAAACTTGCCCAAGGTTTCGCCCTGTGCCTGGAATTGAACTCAGGTCTCTCACTTGCAAAGCGAGTGCTCTAACCACTGAGCTGCAGAACTCCACAATTGTCGGACAATCAACTGCTGCTAAATTGCAACCAGTTAACCCGGGACAGTCCCAGACCGTCCCAGTCTGAACAACTCAGACTCACACTGAAGGTGCCTCTGCAAGCCTAGAAAGAGACCAACTAAGCCTATTTTGCATGTGATATGCCAGCTCTCCACTTGTGCAAACCTACTCTTCGTTTAACAATAAACAAGTGCTGGGTCATAGCTCTTAAATACAAATTATAAATTAATCTTCAAGCAAATCACAGTAACACAATGAATGAGAAGATGGCAATCGGATGAGATTAGATTCCTCAATGGACATACCTGGAGGTTCAACTTCCATATCGTGCAGACCATCGTCTTCTAAAAAAAAGACACAACAAATACTTTTGAAGCCTATCCATAACAAAACCCGGAAATTTAGACAAGGAGATCAGCTACCAGGGACTTTGGTTATGTGGAGAGTCTAGAGAAGCTGGTACTGTTCTCCTTAGAGCAGAGAAGGTTAAGGGGAGATTTAATAGAGATGTTAAAAATTATGTGGGGCTTTCATAGAGTAAATAAGGAGAAACTGTTTCCACGGTTTCCACGGGTGGATATTTGGCAGAATTTTTTTTCCCCAGGGAGTTGTTACGATCTGGAATCCACTGCCTGAAAGGGTGGTGGAAGCAGATTCAATAATAATAATGCTTGCATTTAATATAGCCCCTTATCAAGTCTTTTGAGACATCTCAAAGCACTTCACAGAATATAAAGTGTAGTGACTGTATATTTTGTGGGTGAAACACCGCAGCCAATGTGCACAGCAGTGTCCCACAGGCAGTTGTTAATTGAATGACCAATCTATTCATTTTTTATTTTTTATTTATTTATTTTTGACGGGACTATTACTCCAGGGAAGGAAAATTACTTTCAAAGGAGGATTGGATAGATGTTTGAAAATAAAAAAGTTGCAAGGTTGTGGGGAACGAGCGAGAGAGTGGACTAATTGGATAGCTCTTTCAAAGAGCCGGAACACACACAGTGGGCTGAATGGCCTCCTTCTGTGCTGTAAGGATTCTGTGATTCCTGCAATGGACGTACCTGGAGGTGCAACATCCATATTGTCCAGATCATCTTCTTCTAAAGAAAAGACACAACAAATACTTTTGAAGTCTACGCATAACAAAACCTGACAATTTAGAGACGACTGAAATCATGGAAAATCTTTTAAGAGGAATGGGTCACAATCCAGACACATGAACACTTTACCTTTATCTTCTGAATTCTTAGGAAGTGCTGGGACACCTTTGTCGGTCTTGTGATCTGTAGGAAGATCATGTGAATTTCAGGCCCAAATGAATAATAATAGGCATTCTTTGCCTTTTTGCCTGGTATGCAAATAATAATCCTTGCATTTGATACAGAGCCTTATCACGTTGAGCCATCGCAAAGCGTTTCATGGGATATACTGTAAAGTGAAGTGACTGTGTATTTTGTGGACAAAATGCAGCAGCCAATTTAAGCACAGGCAATGTCCCACAAACAGCAATGGAGTGAGTAACCAATTTTATTGGGGGGATTGTTGGCCAGGACACTGGGAGAGAAACTCCCTTCTCTTCTTGAATAGTGCCTTTTAAGTCCACCTGATCAGACAGATGGGACCTCGGCTTAACCTCTCATCCGAACATTTCATCATAAGGCACCACTTCAGATGCAAGGGTTATTATTGTTGTAAAAATAACAATGCATTTGAATTAGCGCCTTATTTTGAAACGTTTCAAAACACTTCATGGTAATTTCTATTAATTTGAAGGCAAAGAAGGCAGCCAATTTTCCACTTACACCTCACTACCAGCCAGGAGGTGAATGACCATTCTAATTGGAGGATTGTTGGCCAGGACAGTTGGGAAAAAACTCCCTTATCTTTTCAAAGAGCGTCATGGGATCTGTAACATCCACCTGAAGAATGCAGTATAATGGTTCTCAAAATTTCTGATGCTATACCTGAACCTGCAACCTTCTGACCAAGAGGTGAGCACATTAATAACTGAGCTGGACTAACACCTCATGATGCATTATGGAAACATGTTGTTCTCTCACAGGGATACAAAGATTACCTGCCCTCTTCCTAAATGAGAAAAGTGAAAATGGATATTTTCCATAAATATTTCTCTTTAAGAGAGGTGTCCAATGATCTCACTTTATATTAGGTGAATTGACACAATGCTCCTGGCCTGGCGATAGCTCCTGTGTGCATTTGGGTGGCGCTCTTCACCCACAAATATTCAGTCAATTACAATATATTCCATGAGACGTCTCGACGATATGATACCAAGTGTCTCTGGGCTGGATTCTCGCACGGCTCACATCTGAAGGTATTTTCACGCCTTTACAATCACAATAACATTAGCAAGTGATTTTTGAACGGATGTACCTTGAGAAGTGCTTTCGGAGTCAATTTCCTCTTCTCCTTCTAGAGGGAAGACAGAATAGACATGTCAAGTCTACAAGTAGAACGTGACGAATATTATCAATAAGAACTGCCTTAAGTGAAGTGACTGTGCATTGGTGCGCAAATGCAACAACCATTTTGCATACAGCAAGGCCCCTTGAACGGTCATGAAGTGAATGACCAATTTATCTGGGGAATTGTTGGCCACGACACTGGGAGAAACTCTTCCCTTTTGCAATAGTGCCATGGGATCTTTAACATCCATTTGAACAGGCAGATGGGACTTCAATTAACATCAAATCTGAACGCATCAAAATGCAAGCATTCCTAAATCTGAAGTATGGCATCTTGAGCAATGTATCACTCCCCCAGCCCTGCACTGGAGTGTCAGCCTAGACTAGGAGGTCAAGTCCCAGTTTGGGGCTTGAACGTTCAACCTTCTGACTCAGAGGCAAGAATTATACCAACTGAGCCAAGGTGATACCTGGGCACAATTAGCTGGATTTTCTTATAGGAAACTTGAACTGTAGATTACTTGAACAAAAATTGAGGAGAACTGTTAGATTCATAGATACCAGGTGTAAATTAATAGTCTGACTGATATAGGTTGTTAATCCCTGATGGACTGAACTCAACCAGATTATTAAAGTGAGACTGAGGTCGGGTGAAGGTGTTGGGAGATACATTGTAGAAGGTGTAAGTTGGATTGAGACTGATTACATTAAATAACTTGGAAGACATTCACTGTGTGGTGGTGTACCTTATTCCTTGTGGAATTGTAACAGGAAGGACTATTAGCATTCGGAAAGAGCTTACCTTTCAAAACTTTGGCTGGACTTCCATCGTCATCTGCAGAATCTGGGAGAAAAGCAAACATTATCAAGTCAATTAATTAACGGAATTTCACTTTAAGGTGTATTACGCACAATAACAGATTGTATCCCCTTCCATACATAGTCCTTATTGCTTACACACATTTATTATACACACAAACAGTTTATATTACACACACAACTCCTGTAATTCATATACAGCTGTATTAAACGCATAATCTGTAAATCACATACATACCTCTTGTATGACACAACCAGATAACCTGTTATACACACACACACACATTGTATTACACATAGATAACCTGCAATACACACACAGAAACTGTTTGTGCAGAGAAATGTAACATATAACAGGTGATTGATTCAGGGAATACAAATTATTGATCACGAGAACACAATGTGATTGATCTTACCGGGCAATCTCCTCCTCTTTATTGGAGGGCGAGTTGTTACTGCTTTAGAAAGACTGCTCCTGTTCACAGCTGAGGAACCTGTGTATAACAGCGTGACCGTCAATGCAGGTAGATTTACTGCTGACCCTGACCCGGAACACAACCAGTAAACATTCTGTCTTCTTTAGAATGAATTTCAAAGCCCTGCCTTAACTTCTAACGACTACAGCTGGCTCTCCTCACATCCAGGCTATATTTCCTTATGCACTGAAACTGGTGGTTGCATTTGGCACATATACTACATATACTGTACCTTCCCCAGTGCTTTCTTGTGGCTCATTTTCCGTTCTGGTTTCTTTTGTAGATTTGGTCTCCGATCTACAGAAATGAATCACAATCAGCCACCATCAACAACAACAACAACAAGATTTTATTTATAGAGCGCCTTTCACATCGGGAGGACGTCCCAAGGCGCTGGAGAGTTGGGTCAGGACCCGAGCAGGGGGGAAATGGTCAGGGTGAGGGGAGGGAAGGGAGGGAGCGAGGAGGGTGTAGAGAGTCGAGAGGGGAGCTGAAGGCACAGTCAAAGAGAAAGGTCGATAATGTTTGCTCTTGATAATGTTTGCTTTTCTCCCAGATTCTGCAGATGACGATGAAGGAGGAAAGGGAGGGGGCAAGGCGAAGGCACTGGGGGATGGAGTTCCAGAGCCTCGGGGCTGAGAGGCTGAAGGCCCGACCACCGATGGTAGGGCGGTTGGGGCGGGGGATGTGGAGGAGACCGGAGCCAGAGAAACAGAGGAGAACAGAGAAATCAAGGAGAGGATTTGATAATAATAATCCTAGCATTTGATATAGCACCTTATCACATCGTTGACACGTCTAAAAGCGCTTCAGAATATATTATAAACTGGATTGATTGTGATTTTACGGGCGAACACTACAGTCAATTGTGCACAGCACTGTCCCACAAGCAGTCATAGATTGAGTGACCAATTTTTTTTTGAGGCATTATTGCGCTCCTACTTACATTTAGGCAAACAGAGGCGTGTGGAGTAAGGAAACTTGCCTAAGGTTTCACCCCGCCCGGGAATTGAACCCAGGTCCTCTTGCTTGCGAGCAATGCAGTGTGAGCAAGCAAGACAGGAGGAACGAGGTGCCAAACTACATTTGTGCCTTGGTTACAAATACAAAACCTGTTTTAGTTTTTGCAAATCAGTTAATCTACACACCACACAGAGTTGCAGCCACGAAGCATTATACACTGCACGTCATGTTTACAAAACAAGGTCAATGTATACAGGATCCCAGATTTGAATGCTGCTCCCACGTCAGTGGGATAGAGAGGGGTTAATTAGACAGCGTCCCCGCTCCTGATCACTCCCCAGCAACCACTCTGGGAACGTGTGAGTTAGATGAGGTTGTGGTTGGGCTTGGCTGTGATACCCAGCACAGCGGAATAGCTTGCCATCACTGCCCACACACAGAGACTCACATACAGACACAAACACCACTCTTACCACTCACAGACACCCTCTACCTGCGGCATTGTGCGGACAGGCCCATGACAATGCCAAAGATTGAAACATGCACACTCTCTCTCCACTTCCTACCCCCTTCGCCCCCATGTCTGCTCAGCAAATGATGCACTGTAACTAGATGTTTCTGGGCTCAATACAATTTATAATCATATGGTGCCTTTCACATCAGGAGGATGTCTCAAAGTGCTTATTCATTCAAACACCCGAATTTTTACACTCCTTGACACACTCCTAGTGCCCAACACTTTGTGCCTCCCCACGGAGGCAATAATTACGAGCTTTCAAAGGCTAAACCCACTCATATCAAGCAATTCCGAGGGCGCAAGGTTCTTTACCGTCCAGTGTACCTTGCTCAACTTCTCTAGGTTTTTGATCTTCACGTAAAGATTTCTTTGATGGTGAAGCAGGATTCTGGGCTGAAAGAAGTTAAGAAACAGTCATGATATAGATGATTTCCTTCAAAGCAACTTTTTAATAATAACAATGGCTTCTTATCACTTCGCTGAGACGTCTCAAAGTACTTCACGTAATATACTATAGAGTGAGTCGGCTGTATATTTTGTGGGAGAATCGCGGCAGTCATTTCAACACAGAAGTGTCCTACAAACAGTCGTGGATTAAGTGACCAAATTATCCCCAGAAACTGATCTACCAATTGACTAACAATCATATTCCTACTTACTGCTAAGTGAACAGAGGCATGTGGAGTAAGGAAACTTCCCCAGGGTAGCGAGGACAAGTTTGCAGGGCTATGGGGAGAGAGCGGAGGAGTTGGATTGATTTGAATAGCTCTTTTCAAAGAACCAGCACAGACACAATGGGCCAAGTGGCCTCCTTCTGTGCTGTATAATTCTATGGTTCTATGGTTTCACCTCCCCTGGAATCGAACCCGAGTTATCTCTCTTGCGAGGTGAGTGCGCTAACAACAACAAGATTACATTTGTATGGCGCCTTTCACGTCGGGAGGACGTCCCAAGGCGCTGGACAGAGTACCCCTCTCCTCTGCTCCAGTGAAATAACCAAATTTAGCCAGCATTTCTTCTCGTGTATGTGTCTCGTACCCTGCACCCTCTCAATTTCAACCGCTTCCTTCAAAATGGGGAAGCAGAATAAAATTGTGTGTATGTGTGTGTACACGTGAGGGGTTGCGGGGGGAAGAAGGTACGTAACAGAGAAACAGAGTCAGACACACACACAGAAATGCAGTCTCAATTTGACGCACCCAATGCCATGCATGTGGATTGGCTCCATGTGGGTTGGCGTACGGTGATGTTCAGTTATCCCCTCCCCCCCGTTGAATAAACATTAAAAAGAGAAGTAGTGTACAGGGCGTCCACCAAGTCCTGTTATCCGCTGTTCCAAAATAGCAATAGGAGACTACAGATGAGCTGAAACAAGCTGTCAGAGTTGCAGTCCGCTTCCTCACTCCAATATGTTACAGAAGATGTCGCACCGAACATGGCGACGGATCATTATCATTAACTATGGTACTCACACACACTGATCCCCGGATGTCTAAAGACAGTTAAAAACTTGTACTGAATTCAATTAAGTGATTCTAAAAACAATTGTCATTATTCTTCCACATGTTTCAGTTATTGGTAATGCACTGCGTGAAAAAAAAACTTGGGGTAACATGACTTTGTGGACACTCTGTAATAGGGCATTTTTTAAGGAATTTTCACTGGTGGGGACTGGATTCAAAGGGGGCACTTTTATCCTACATCCAGAAACATTAAGCGAGAATAAAATTTCAAAAAAATATAAAATGGGCAGGTGTTAGTGACGGTACGTATCTTTAGCTGCCAGGTTCCATGTGTGTGACGTAACCGTAGCCAGTCTGACGAGGCCCGGCTACAGATAGGATAGCGTCACTGCCGAAACAGTGACTGCTTGGCAACTGCAGATGAAATCAAAGAATTTTACAGCACAGAAGGAGGCCATTCGGCCCATCAGGCCTGTGCCGGCTCTTTGAAAGAGCTATCCAACTTATCCCACTCCCCCCACTCTTACCCCAGAGCTCTGTTAATTTTTCCTTTTCAAATACCTATCCAATTCCTTTTTGAAAGCCTCGACCAAATCTGCTCCCACCACCCATTCAGGCGGGGGATTCCAGATCGTGACATCTCTCTGGGGCACAAAATATTTCTCCCCTACCCTCTGGTTCTCCGGGAATCGAACCCGGGTCCTCTCGCTTGCGAGGCGGGAGCCCTAACCACGACTGCCACAAGATTCCACGAGTTGCAGTTGCCCTTAAAATCAGTTCATCAAATCCCAATTAACCTTAATTGCTATGAAGATGATGGAAGGGCAATTTAGTGGGTGAGCAATTTTGAAACGACTGCTGGGGAATTCCATGGGGCTGGTGGGGAATTTCCCCAGCACTTTAATATTTTATTCCCCCCCCCAGCAAAAAAAGTGTGTGTGTGTGTGTGTATAATGTGCGGCAGGAAATTGTGTGTGAATCTCACAGAGGACAGACATTCTGGGAGCCTGACACAAACACAGACACAAACACACACACAAACACATACACACACAAACACACAGACACATACACACACAAACACACAGACACATACACACACAAACACACAGACACATACACACACAAACACACAGACACATACACACACAAACACACAGACACATACACACACAAACACAGACACATACACACACAAACACATACACACAAACACACAGACACACAAACACACAAACACACAGACACACAAACACACAGACACACAGACACACAGACACATACACACACAAACACACAGACACATACACACAGACACATACACACACAAACACACAGACACACAAACACACAAACACACAGACACACAAACACACAGACACATACACACACAAACACACAGACACATACACACACAAACACACAGACACATACACACACAAACACACAGACACATACACACAAACACACAGACACATACACACACAAACACAGACACAGACACACACAAACACACAGACACATACACACACAAACACACAGACACATACACACAAACACAGACACATACACACACAAACACACAGACACATACACACAAACACAGACACATACACACAAACACAGACACATACACACACAAACACAGACACATACACAGACACATACATACAAACACACAGACACATACACACACAAACACAGACACATACACACACAAACACAGACACATACACACACAAACACACAGACACATACACACAAACACACAGACACATACACACAAACACACAGACACATACACACACAAACACACAGACACATACACACAAACACACAGACACATACACACACAAACACAGACACAAACACACAGACACATACACACAGACACATACACACAAACACACAGACACATACACACAAACACACAGACACATACACACACAAACACACAGACACATACACACACAAACACAGACACATACACACACAAACACACAGACACATACACACACAAACACACAGACACATACACACACAAACACACAGACACATACACACACAAACACAGACACATACACACACAAACACACACACACACAAACACACAGACACACAAACACACAGACACACACACACAAACACACAGACACATACACACACAAACACATACACATACACACACAAACACACAGACACATACACACAAACACATACACACACAAACACATACACACAAACACACAAACACATACACACAAACACACACACACACAGACTGAACTCTTGTCACGTGTGTTTAGGGACCGGCCAAGTCACACTGAAGATGAACAAAGCCTCTGCTGACAGTTTAACAGCGTCATATTTGCACCAACTTCCTGGCAGTTCAAATTGTGTGTGTGTGTGGGGGGGAGAGGGAGTGAGGGGGGGGTGAGGGGGAGGAGGGGAAACGAACACATTTTCTGTGCTCACTCTCGGGCCTCAGCACTTCTCTTCTCTTCTCTTCTGGCAGCAAATCTGGGAAACGACCAATCACCGCCCCCCCCCCCCCGCCCCCCCGCCACTCCCCACACCCTAACCTGTCAGACCCCCGCCCGAGGGGGTGGTTTTCCTCCTCGATTTCCGCCCCATGATCTTCTCTCGTCCTCACTCACTCACTCACTCACTGGCGCGCGCGACGCCTCTCTGTCTGTCTGTCTATCGCGCGCCCGCGCACGCGCACGCCCGCACTCCAACCCGCGCGGCCGCTCCAAACCGACGCCTGTTTCCGCCCGGACACGACACGGCGCGAGGACTGTCTGGACTCATTTCGCGACGGACCGCTTGAGGGGCACCAGCAGCTTCCGCTTGGCCACCGGTGCGGGGCCGATCGTCACTTCCGGTGACTGCCAGCCCGTCAAAAAGAAACCCCGCCCCTCTTCGGTGACACAATGCCTTAAAGGGACCGCACACCCTCCAGTGGGAGACAGCAATGCCTACACCCCCCAACCCCCCCCACCCCCATGACAACTGTCCTTCAGATTGTTTATTGGGTTACTCAATAATAATAATCCTTGCGTTTGATTCTCACGACTTCCAGGCGTCAGCCCCCCACTAAACACAAGTCCATTCCTCTCTCCCGGACCCGTCGGTTCCTTTTCGTCGTCTGCATCAAGTTTCCAATTAAGCGTTGTTGATCCCTTTTTTTTTTGCTTCCACCAGCGAGCTTCCGCATAAAGGGATCGCTTAAATGCGACCCAACGTCCTGGCCTCAACCACTCTTCCCGGCAACTTGTTCCTCTGGTTAACGTACCATTTGCAACTCTAAACCTATGACTTCTTATTCTACTGTCTTGGTGCATCCTAAAGTTCTGATCTGGGTTTGCTTTTCCAATCCCATTTAAGATTTTGTACACCTCGATAAGGTCCCCTCTGAGACCTCTCAAGACTGAATAGCCATAGCTTGTTCGATCGTTGATCATGGCTCTTAACACTGGGGATCAGACTCATGCCTCTCCTCTGCAGTGCCTCTCTGGCCTTACGTCATGGTGACAAGATCTGCATTCAGTCCTCTAGCCGCAAACTAACCAGAGCACAAGTGTCTAAAGATACATTTGCTAAGTAATACACTTGAACGTTGTAAGTTTATTCTACAAACACTTGAAATTTTACTTTGTTTGTATTCAAAATGTCAATGTTTATAAAACAGAAATAAAAAACAATCCTTAGCCCTCGGCAAGTTGCTGTCTCAGCTCATAAACTCTCCATATTGACCAAACTAAGTGCAAACGTTTCATCTATTTTTCTTGGACCAGTTCATTCAGATTTGCAGCCACCCTCTTCGATTTCAGGTCATCAAATAAACTGTATTGTGACTTTTCCTCATCGGTTTGTACCAGTTTTATATCACGCCTGCACTGGAATTTAACCATCTGATCAGACTGTGTTGCCTTCAGCTAGAGATTTGAAGTGTTAGTATGTTATTAAGCAGTAAATAGAATCATAATAATAATCCATACAATTGATAACAACATCTATCACATTGGGAAGATGCCTCAAAGTTTCACAGTAGATACTGTAAAGTGTAGTGACTCTGCATTTGTAAGCAAATAATATATTTCCAATCAATATATATTGTGTAAAGTCTTTGAGATGTTTATTTTTCATGACAGGTGCTACATTTATATTACAATAACCTGCATTTCAGAAAAGACATGTCAGAATATAAACACTACCTCAAGATTGTCTGTTTGCAAATGAAGAAACACTGATCAGAATGGGAGCTGTTCAGGAAATGAAATGCGAGATTTTCACAGTAAATGATCACAAACGAAAAGTAAGCAATTCTGCTGGGAATCATCAGATCAGCCTCACCAAGTCTCAGTGATATGTGCAGATCTCACAATCCTACCAGACGTGTTTTCCATTTCAAAGTAAACAGCTTGTGACCCACTGCAGTTATTCAGCTTGCTCTGTGGTAGATCAAGTGCCAATGTTTGACAGATCCCATGAGCACATTAACAGATTGTGATCAGGGAAATTTGCAGCAGCCACAACCCAGTAAAAACTGGTAGAACCAGAATACAAAGACCTAAGAATCAGATAAACCATTTATTTGCTTTGCAAACTGCTTGGTCACATGCCGCTGGCCATTTTCTGATGTCAAGAACACTGTGCCAGCCCCTCCTCACTCTTTTTTATGTTTTCTTTTGACTCGTACTGCCTGATTAGTTTTCTCCCTCTTCCCCCACACCCATGTTAGCAAGTGGCATCCATGTCTGAGCAACTGTTTTCAATGATAATAAAAATTCACAGTCTGATTTACATTGAAACAGAAGCACCTGAACTCACTCCTAAAGGGGACCTTAGCTCAGGTGATCAAACCTGATATTGATTCTCTCAGTGCATCAGAGATCATGCTCTCTGGCTGTCTTAGACAGTGTGACCAAAAGGTCTTCATAGCAATATCTGATACATCAAAGAAATGATGAATTTTTTAGAGAATAGGGTAGCTGAAAAATAAGAAATAGTCATCTGGTTGATCTAGTCATGGAGAAATAGAGTAATGAACATCGCGCTGCAATAGTAGAACTGTACTTCTCAAATGGAAATTCTATCGTTGCAGCACTATGGCGTTTTTGGAAAAAATTGGGATCACATGATAGTCCACCAAAGATGTCCATATTGGGCTATATTTCTGCATTTCGTGGCACAGGAAGTGTTAAAGATGCACAAAGAAGTGGATGGCTTCGAACAGCGCGAATGGTTGGAATATGGGATCAGTCGAGAGAAGTGGTGATCAGGAGCCCCAAAAGCTCTGTGACGCTGTCTCAAGAGCTTGATCTGAAAAGAGAGTCTGCAAAAAATACTAAAACGTGATTTGAAATTATTTCCTTCCAAAATCCAAGTTACCCAACAGTTGTTGCCCCACTGACAAAGTTACAAAATCCGCCACAATCAATAATGGCGCTGAAGGACAATATCAGAGAAGCTGTGCAGTTCCTTCCAGCCGAAACACTCAGGAAAGTAATGGAAAATGTCATTATTCTTCATCGTAAGAACGGAACAGCAAACTCTGTATTTTTGTTTTTTTATGCACCGAATACTGTCTTTGAAGAAATAAAGTAATTATTATTAAAATAAATGGTATCATGACTTTTTGGTCATCCTGTGTTTACGCCCCTCAAACAAGCAGCCTGACTTTTTCCTGGTTGGAATGTAAACCACGAGCTGGGGATTTGAATGGAAAACAGTGGAGAGTCAAAAGAGACACAGGGTGAGACACAGAGACAAAGAAAAAGATATACATATACACTCAAACCATACTAACCCAACTTCAAGTATCTGGAATTCGGACTTACTCTGTGAACCAAAAATCTATACTGTGTGTAGAAATTTCACACTCTCGTAAGCCCAGCTCTCCTAGTGCACACCCACACCACACAGCCCACGTGATGCCCACAGCTTCTGAGCAGCATCCCACCTCACGATGTCTGGCTGGCCTTCACAGTTTCCCCGTCGGTACATTTTGGTCAGTGACTTTACTTTTTTGTGCTTGCGTTACCCTCTGACACTTAACGTCAGAATAATGCCTAAGCCTTTTGATGTTTTCTCTGACCGTGGCATTCCTAAAACATCTGTAACCGTGGTCACAAAGTTAGCAATTTTGAAGAAGTTAGACAATGGAGTAAGTGTAAGGGCTATAATGGCGCAGTACAGACTTGGAAAAATCCACTCTGTATGCCAAGGGAAAGATTTTAAAGTTTACTGAAGTACAGGATTCAATGTAACAGGTCTGCCAATTCATACTGAGCAGATCCAGTAAAGTTCACACGGGTGGCAGATCACGCTCGTCCCTTTACCAGCCCAGTGTGAGCTAGTTTGCTTTTCCCTCAAGGGGATCTTTGGGTGATAACGCGATTGTGCCATAATAAAAACTGCACTTTTACAACTCAATGCCCCCTCCCCTGCCGCTCGTTGAGTTAAAGTAATGTCAGAAGTGGGATTCCACTTCCAGGAAGCTTTCAGCCGAGGATAGGTCAAGGCGAAAAGTAGATGAAGGGGAGAGCAGGAGAGAGAGGAAGAGGGTATTGTTGATGGGACTAATGCAGACAAAAGACATCACAGGCCGAGGTCTGGCCAAGGGCATCTTTTACACTCAGGAAAACTTGTGCGCTGGGGGAACACCATCTTGGAGAGGAAGCCTCACAAATGGGAACTGAGAAAGGCATCAACAAAAGGAGTCGTAGTGTCACTGGGCAACACTGATCACATGTCTCATCTCTACACTTTCACCTACACTTTCACTGAGAAACTTTAACCCCGATTTTGTATTCTCTATGGAACCAAGCCACAGAAACTGATCCCTTTACAAGTGGAAGGAAGGTGTACTAGACAGCACAGAAGACATCGGCACATGGCACACCACATAGAGGGTTTACTTGCTATGAGTTGGTGGACTTTGGGCTAAAATGAAAGCCACAGGGTTGAACCTGCACCCAGTTTGTTACAGATTCACATCCCATTTTTCAGCCACAATGTCAACCAAGATGGTGTTTCAATGAACCCTTGAAGGGTTGAGGTAGTGGGACAATGCAAACTGCACATTTTACAACCCTGGTGCCCTGCTACTCATCAAGGTGAAAAGTAGATGGAGGGGAGAGCAGGAGAGAGAGGAAGAGAGTATTGTTGAAGGGACTAATGCAGACAAAAGGCATCACAGGCTGAATCCTGGCCAAAGGTGTCTTTTAAACTAAGACAAGTCTGTGTTCTGGGGGAACACACGCTTAAGGAGGAAGCCTCACAGATGGGGACTGAGAAAGGTGTTGAAAAAAGGAGCCACTGGGCAACGCTGATCATATGTCTCATCTCTATACTTTCACTTACACTTTCACTGAGAAACTTTAACCCCAATCTTTTTTGTGGAACCAAGCCACAGACGCTGACTGATCCCTTCACAAGCATAAGAAAAGTGGAACTCACCATGAGAGATACCAAATCTGACAACACTGAGACCCTAAGTGGAAGCTGAGAAACAACGGCAGATGTGAATGTGGAGAGCCTAAGCAAACACAAACACTGCCCGATGCAATGCCTCCTATCAACTGCGATTCAAAGTACGAAGACATAGATGGAGTGACAATGACTCTGAGACCTCGGTCTTGGACCCTGAACAACCGGTACTGTCAGATGTCCTATGCATTCCACCAATCAA